GCAGATCAGGGACCTCTCTTAAACCTCTTCTTAGGAAGAGGAGAAAAATAATAGGGCTGCCTGCCGTTTTTCTAATGATCTGTATATTTCATTTAAAAACTGTATGCCACTTTAGGCTTTCACTCAGGGACGTGGTGGCGCTGCGGGTTAAACCGCAGAAGCCTCTGTGCTGCAAGGGCAGAAGACCTGCAGTCATAAGATCGAATCCACGCGACGGAGTGAGCTCCTGTCGCTTGTCCCAGCTCCTGCCAACCTAGCTGTTCTAAAGCATGTAAATGCGAGTAGATAAATAGGTACCACCTAAATAGGGAGGGTAATGGCATTCCGTGTCTAGTTGCGTTGGCCACGTGACCACAGAAACTGTCTACAAACGCTGGCTCTGTGGCTTGGAGACGGGGATGAGCAGCGCCCCCTAGAGTCAGACACGGCTTGAACTAAATGTCAAGGGGAACCTTTACCTTTACCTTACAGGAGGTGGGGACACAAAATGGGGTGAAATCTGTCTGAGACGGGGAACTTGTAGCCCAGAACATGGCACTGGGCTCCTTTAGTCCCCAACCTCAGGCCATGTGAGTTGGCCTGATGGGATCTGGAGGCCAACAACCTCTATCAGGTCCAAGATTCCCTATTCCTGACATAGCTCATAATCCTCCTCCATCTTTTTTTTTCTGTTTAAGGCAAGGGCACTGCAAATCACCACTTCTTTATTAAAGCTGCTATTGCACTATTAAGCAGTTACAAAAATTAAGAGGGAAGGAGAGGGAAGCCCACAGAAGCATGGCCAACTTGGGGGAGAATCAGCCACCACAGGAATTCTCTCCAGCTTCTTATTTACGACTTCAGCCACACCACCGGGAGCCACAGGCCAAGCAACAGGCCAAGGAGCCTTGTCTCTACGGCCACAGCCTTACAGTGGCTTCTCCTTCCTCCAATGCAGGATTCCCACTCTTCAGCTCTGTTGACCCTTTGGTGGCATAAATGCCTTCAGCATTTTGTAGCCCCACCTTCCTCATACTGTTGCCCTTCTCTGTGTGCTCCCCCCATTGCTTCCACAATGGACAAGGGATGGGATAATGGCAGTGAGAGTTCACTAGAGCTGGAGGGTGCTAACTTTGGACAAGGCTGACTTAGAGCCATGATGGTTGCATATTTAGCTTTCTCAAGAGTTGACCTCCCTCTTTTATCCCTGGAAAGGGGCAAAGGCAAACAGGACAAGCCATTTGTTATCCTCAATATTCATACCCAAACAATGAGTCCAAGGGTTGACAATTTGATTCAAAACACATCCATTCCTTCATTCGAAGAAAAAAAATGAGCACATAAAGAAGGAAGAATGAGTGAAGCAGCATCTCCAGAAATGGCTCAGGCATTCGTCAGAAAAAAGGGGGAAAGATTTTTCTGGTTTGTGGTGCATGTGTGTATGTGAGGGTGTGTACATGCAGAGGAGGTTAACATGCTAAGAAATTCAGCTTTCTCTTTCCCCCAGACATGTTAATTTCTATACGCCAATATGCAGTTCTTCCACAACAGGCCAGAGAGAGAGAAAAAAAGGACTTCCTTGACACTACTGAATTTATACACAGGACAAGCCATTTGTTATCCTCAATATTCATACCCAAACAATGAGTCCAAGGGTTGACAATTTGATTCAAAACACATCCATTCCTTCATTCGGAAAAAAAAAGCACATGAAGAGGGAAGAATGAGCGAAGCAGCATCTCCAGAAATGGCTCAGGCATTTGTCAGAAAAAAGGGGGAAATATTTTTCTGGTTTGTGGTGCATGTGTGTATGTGAGGGTGTGTACATGCAGAGGAGGTTAACATGCTAAGAAATTCAGCTTTCTCTTTCCCCCAGACATGTTAATTTCTATACGCCAATATGCAGTTCTTCCACAACAGGCCAGAGAGAGAGAAAAAAAGGACTTCCTTGACACTACTGAATTTATACAGCCTGCCCTACAGTCTTGCAAGCTTCTGAGGAAAGAGCTGGTCTAGGGACCAGATCTAAGAAGAAAAAAGCTGTACGTTTTTCTTGATCAAAAGATAGCTCATCACTTCTCGCGCCTTTTGCACACAAAACAACACCTACTGCTGGTTGTCCTCTCTGATGACAGGCAGCGTGCACAGGAGAAACAAAACAGGAGGGAGGGGCAATCGGCAACATGGTGTTAGAAACAATATTAAAATTCTGCAATGGCCCTTTAAACCCCCTTCACCCTCACACAAACATCCTCCGCTTACACACTGCCCAATATTCCAGGTGCAGGGAACAGTTCCCTTTGGCAAAACACTTGGGGCAGTGGGGGCAAGTAGAAAGGGTAAGTCAAAGAGGCAGAGCACAACTGTAGGCTAAACTTTGGGGTCAAGAATTAGGGCAGTTTAAAAACAGGAAGGAGGAGACTAACAGATCAAAGGAACTGTATGTAAGACAGTGAAAGTCCAAGTGTAGTTAAGAGTCAGTACAGTGGTGCCTCGCTAGACGATTGCCTCGTGGGACGAAAACCCCGCAAGACGATTGTTTTTTGAGATCACTATGTGCCTCGCAAGATTTTTTTTCTATGACTGTGCTTTGCAAGATTTTTTTAGACCAGTGCTTTGCAAGACTTTTTTTTTTAGACTGATGCATAGGGAACCTCGCAAGACGATTTCTTCACAAGACAATTTTTACGGAACGAATTTAAATCATCTTGCGAGGCACCACTGTACTTTATGCATTGGGAAGTAGGACTGGGGGCGATCCCGAGGGGGCAAGGCTTCCGTGCCCTGTCTAGAACTCTGGAGCAGGGTAAGGGCAACCCTTCCTGTAAATGCAAACCCTGATAGGAGGGAGGCTCTACCTGTAGTATACCTGCCTCCTTCAGAGTTCTGGAAAACAACAAACCCACTCCTCCTCTGGGAAAAGTCAGCTTAGGGTTAAAGCTAGTGATGGACCTGTTTCTACTCTGAGCCAGAGCACCATATCTGTTCTACTAAATATTCACAAGACAATTTACTTGTGAAAGGAGCTGTAAACACATTCAGAGGCAAAAGTCAGCCATATGTAAGGACTGATTTTCAGCAGGATATAAATCAGGAGAATATTCTGGACTGGGGCCCAAGACTGCTGTTTTGTTTTCTATTTTTCAAAATAAAAACTTTTGCCAACGTAAGCCTCTTTTTAAACCAATGTGAAGAATGTAACAATGGTTTGTTGGGTCTGACAGATGAAGACATGATACACAAATTAGTGGTCAGTGTCTATACGTTTACGGCCACTATTGGTTGATGCAACCCTCTGCCAAGGTGGCAGCCAACGTAAGGAAAATGGAAATGATTCTCCCTCCCCAGGTGTAGCCATGTTGGTTGGCCAAAGCAAAATCAACAACAAAAAAATCTAATACCACCTTAAAAAGTAACAAGTTTTATTTGTCATAAGGATGTAGCCATGTTGGCTGGCCAAAGCAAAATCAACAACAACAACAAAATCTAATACCTCCTTAAAAAGTAACAAGTTTTATTTGTCATATGCTTTTTGAACTGTATTTCTCTCTCTTTTTTTTAAAAAAAAAATTCCGATGAAATGGGGGTACAGTCCACAAGTGCATGCTGTACGCTGAATAAAAATTGCTGGTCTCTTGGGTGCGGCAAGACTTTTTGTTCCTAAATCCCCTCTAGCATCAGTGCTGTCTCACATTCCAGAACCCATACTGTGAAACTAGGGGATGAGGGCAGATGGAAGAAATGAAAGCAGGATGAATGGAGCAGGAAAGCAAGAGAAATTCAAGAGTTCTTGTCTAGGAGGCAGATGAGTAAATAGGCAAGTACGCAAGGAGACAGCTAATATCTGCTTGGAAGATTTTCATATTTGAAAGGCCTGTGATCTGTGCAGAGCTTTCTGGCACTCAGTGGGATACAGAGGGGTCAGCCCCAGAGCACAGTCAGTAGCATGGGGGTGTGAGAATGGCAATTGTTGATAGAGACAGCAAACAGAGACAAGAAATCACATGTGGGAATACAGTGGTGCCTTGCTAGACAGTTACCCTGTATGACAGTTTTTTCGCTAGACATTGACTTTCTGTGATCGCTATAGTGATTCGCAAAACAGTGATTCCTATGGGGGAATTTCGCTGGACCATGTTTGGTCCCTGCTTCGCAAACCGATTTTCGCTAGACAATGATTTTGACAGCTCCATCTGCAATCGCAAAACGGGTGTTTTGGGGACCTAAGCTTTGCAAGACTGTGATTTAAACAGCTGATCGGCGGCTCACAAAGCTGCTTTCCCATGGCCGCTCTTCGCTAGACAACGACGATTCTTCCCCATTGGAACGCATTAAACAGGTTTCAATGCATTCCAATGGGGAAATGCTTTTTGCTAGACGATGATTTTGCTAAACAGTGATTTCAGTGGAACGGAGTATCATCGTCTAGCGAGGCACCACTGTAGAGGTGTAATGTGAGGTAGAGGGGATAAGAGGGCTGCCAAGTGTGAGATTCCTCTGTTTGGAGAAAGAGCTTTTCTACTTTGCCTATTGCCCTCTCATAAGACAGCATTTGTGTTAAAGCATCAGCTTGAATGCCCATTTTGGTGACACACTCGAAGAAACTGTGTGATACAAAATGGTCATCCTACAAAGCATGCCTGGACTTAAGAGATGGAGCTAATCCTCCCAACTTCTACTCAGTTCCTTTCTATGCAAGGCGTTAATTGCCCTGGTCCAGAGCATTTGTTTGGGCACGGAAATGAAGACCCATGAAAAACCCTTCCTTACTCTGCTGAGGTCAGATCCTTTCTTGTAACCACTGCTGCTATTAAATAATGTTACATTCTGGATGTACACCCCCCCTCTCTCTTTAGAGGGATAATTTTTATTAAGGCACCTCAAAACCCGCTAATTTAGCCCTGTTATATCTGAAGATACCCCTGCTCATTCTTCTGAATGGGGTTCCTGGCCTTCTGACTGAAAATCCTGGTCTAATATTCCTTCCACCTGTGGCCCCAGCAAAGCTGCAGAAAACTTACAGTGTCTGGTAGGTGTTGTCCTTTGACCGGAGGAACCTCACCACAAAAAACACAACAGCTTGGATGCTGAGCACCAAGACCATCCCGCCAATGAAGCTGGCAGAATCAAAACCTGGTGGGCGAAACTCTGGGGAGCCAGTTAGAGGAGGGCTGCTGGCTGTTGTACCTGAGGCAAAACAAAGGGAGCAGATGGTTAGGACTATGACACAGAATGATTCACCTGTACGTACCTCGAGGGGAGTTTGCCATCTCAGTTTGCTATAGCTCAAGAGGAACCAATTCTATCTGGCATAAGCTTTTGTAGGCTGTGAGGGACGTGGTGGCGCTGTGGGCTGTAGCTCAAGAGGAACCAATTCTATTTGGCATAAGCTTGTGTAGGCTGCGAGGGACATGGTGGCGCTGTGGCTAAACCGCAGAAGCCTGTGCTGCAGGGTCAGAAGACCAAGCAGTCGTAAGATCGAATCCACACGACGGAGTGAGCTCCCGTCGCTTGTCCCAGCTCCCACCAACCTAGCAGTTCGAAAGCATGCAAAAATGCGAGTAGATAAATAGGGACCACCTCAGTGGGAAGGTAACAGCGTTCCGTGTCTAAGTCGCAGTGGCCATGTGACGATGGAAACTGTCTATGGACAAAACGCTGGCTCTATGGCTTGGAAATGGGGATGAACACCGCCCCCTAGAGTCGAACACGACTGGACAAAAATTGTCGAGGGGAACCTTTACCTTTACCTTTACAGGCTGCAGCCCACTGCTTCTGATAGGCTCCCTCCCTTCCCATGATCCTGTTAGCACACCACCTCAGGACTTTTTAATTATTTAAATCAGAGTTGGACAAAGGGCAGATTTCCAAATGTTGACAAACTGCAACTCTCAGCGTTCCTCACTACTGACTTGGTTGGCTAACACAATGCCAGCTGCAGTCCAGCAATGATGGGAAGGTCCCTTTTCCTCACCTCTGGTTTAACTCCTACAGCCCAGTTCTGCACCATGACCCATACAGGCAAGAAAAGATGCTTTTTATTTGCAATATGAATAAACCATCAATTAGGGACTCCTTAGTTCCTCATGCTTATCCTGAGAACAGAATCTGTTCTTTGCTATCTACTTCTAATTGCTAGCCCTGCTGTCAGGATTAAGGCTGAAGATGCTCAAAAACAAGGAGCCATATTTCTTGGTTCAAGTCCATACTCCTTGATGGTGTTGTATAATCATATAGAAGCCTCTGTATTGCCTCTGCGGGATGTATTTTCTGCTTTCACTAGCCCCATCAGCACAGTTAACATACAAGAGCCATAAAATCTGTTAAGGAACAGTTCCGCTGTCTTAATGGTGGAAGAAATTTGAAGGCTGTGTGCAAAAGGGCAGATGCCATGTCTTCCAGCCACAATTATGTCCCACTTTACAAGATGCAGAAGGAAAATCCATTTTATTCTCCCACCAGCCACCTTGCCACAAGCCAACTCGACAAAAAATATAACCTGCCAAGAGATTCTGTTCTTAGAGTTTAACCCTTTTAAACTATCCCAGTGCTAAGCCTCCAGGCAATCAATCCTTCTTCCTTTTCTGAAGTTTGGCTACACAAAGTTGAAAAGGGGGGGTCAGCTGCCTGTGAAGGCTACACATAAAATAAGAGCTTGTGCAAGGAAAACAATGAAGGAAGAAACGAAGCAATTAAATACAGGGCAGGCAGGTTGGCATGGAAGCTAAACACAAGCCTCTCCACCCATGCAGAGATAAACGACTGTGCAGCAGCCCATCGGGAGCCTGCCTCGGATCAATAATTTACCAGGCTTTGGAATAGAGTTACTCACTTTAATTAGTCCAAAGCTCTTTCACTCCCAGTCTTGTTTTTCGGCAGGAAAATTCATTCTCTCCAAGAGCTTCTATCTCTCCCTCGCTCGTTTATTAACGAGCCCTTTCCCTCCAAGCCTTCAGTCTGCCTGCTTTATTAAGCTTTCCCATCCTAGCAACAGAGGGGCAAGTCAGATCTTAGCAAGCCCTTCCACAGCAGCAAAAATACCTTTTATTAAGCCCCTTCATTTCCATCTGTCATTTTAATAGGTATGGTGGTGGTGGTGGGTGGCCAGAAGGGGAACAGCTGCAGCCTTGTGGTCTTCTTAATTGTTTCCATAAGCCCAGATCTTTTCGAAAGGTTTGGTCTGGGTGACTGTTTAAGCCATTATTTGGAGGATCGAGATAACTCAGTGGCTTAGGCATCCGGCTGCAGAGCCAGAAGCTGGGAGTTCAATTCCCCATCGTGCCTTCTTGGCAGGGACTGGACTTGATGATCTATAAGATCCCCTTATAGCTCTGCAGTTCTAAGATGACAAGGAGCATGTTGCAAGGTGTTTTGCTCCCCCACCTTCTTCTTGGATCCAGAATGGGGATGTCCGCTCATTATTAGGAAGAACAACCTCACAATATGAGTTGCTTGGCAATGGAACAGATAACCTTGTAAAGTAGCAGAGTCTCCGTTCTGAGAGGTTTTAAGAGAAAGCTGGGTGGCCACCTGATATTGGAGATGTAGCAGGACATGTCCTGCATTGGTCAAGATTGGGCTGGATGATCTTTGAGGATATTTCCCTCTCTATAATTCCTTTCTCTGTTGCCCTCACCATATACATTTGTGGTGATCTCTGAATTAGTCAGAATAATGTTTAGCACTAGGTGAGATAGCTTTTGAAAGTTAGAAGCCAACTTAACCATATGGAGCCCAACAAATCACACAAGCTACATTCAATACAGAACAGCAGCAACAGGAAGGCAGAAGACACAAACAGGCCATGCTTCAAGAAAAAACATTGACAGCAGCATTAGATTAACCAGGTGAAGTCCTAACAGGAAGCATCTCAACTCTTCTTTACAAAAGACACAGAATGCAACAAACCACAACTTTAGCTTGCTGTTACATGCCAACCTGGCCACTGTATCCTTTGAGAAGGGTAGAGTCATGCCCCTCAAAAATAGTGCCCTCCACACTAAGGTCAGCTTTGTAGAGTCAGCTAGGGGTTTTATGAGCCTGGACAGTGGAATTGCTGTGTCTGAACCGATTTCCTAATAAACCATAATTTAATAGCCAGCCTCAAACTTCAATTTGAAGTCCTTGGTTCTATTGATAGTTATGAAGAATGGGTTGCAGCTTATGCTTGTTGAAATCCTGGCTCATCACGTTATCCAAACCTAGAAGTGTAGCTTGCCTTGGCTTGTCCCCACCCCACCCCTGCCCAGCCCAACTGCCTACCCTGAAACAAGAGCTAACAAAAAGGATGGGAGAGAAAGAGGTCAGAAATGGGGAAGACAAACTCGGCTTTGTTTGGCCATCAGCAGGAGAATTCACAACTGCCGCAGCAAATCATAGCAAACATAAACTACAGCTCACACGCTGACATGCAAACAAGGCTATTGTTTGGATATGCTCATCACTGCCAAAGGCGTCCTGTCTGCACAATGGAGTTTGGAGAAGTTGCTTTTTTTTGGACCACGACCACTAGAATTCCCCCAGCCTACAGCTCCTAAAACCCCTCAGATTTTATGGCCACTCTCTTTGCTGACTAGGAGAATGCAGGGTGCTGTAACAGAAGAAATAGCTCTTCCAAAATCTGCTTCTGCAGAGTTATTCTAGCCTTCCCAGGATATTCCAGCCTTCCCCTTCCCCAATATACAAACAATTAAAGATGCCGCTTACTGAGTGTGATGATTTCTGGCTCCTTAGTGGATGGCTTTGGAGGAGTTTTAGTGGTAGGAGGTGGAGGCTCCGCTGTGGTTGTCTTCGATGCTAAGGAAAAATCCAACCAGAATGAATTTAGAAATCAACCTATATTTATTGTATAGCAAGCTAATTTACAGTATATCCAAATGGACTGTGCGAAATTAAGACAATCCAAAAAGTAGTTCAAACCCAGTGCCAAATATATTCATAAGTAAAGCAATTGGGCAAAATCTTCAAATACAGTGGTGCCTCGCATAACGTTTGCTTCGTTTAACGTTTTTTTCGCTTAACGTTTATTTTTTCAGAGTCAGATTGTGCTTCGTATAACGTTTTTCCCTATGGGCGATTTTCGCATAGCGTTTTTGGGACCATGCTTCGCTTAACGTTTTTCCTGTCCTCTATTGTTTCAGAAGGCAATATGAGATCTAAGGAGCTTAAAGTATAGAAGTGAAGGCTTGGGGTCAATAGAAGGTGATGACACTTCCTTGATGGAGGTGAAGCTAAAGAAACATTCACTGGGGGTTCTTTAGCTCCCTGCACAAAGTAGGGTCTCAGATCAAACGGCCCATGATAAAGAGTCATGGACATCACACCCTTGTGCCCTCTGTATGAGAAATCTTGCTGAGATTCCAACTCTGACCTCTGACAGGGCAATAAATATTGGAGAGTGGAGCATCCTGGAACCCCCTTCCAGGATTGGTGGTTGGTGGCACCCCAAATAGCAACCTTCTACATGGCTACACGTCACCCTCGGTTTTACTCATCATCTGCAAGAACAGAAGTTCTTGGGATTCTAGTTCTGCACGAAAGACCAAACCATCAGGCTGCTGTGCTGTGCTCTGCAGTGACAGTTTTGTCCTCACCTATCAGTCTTTTGTCTAAGTGCCACCACGTCCTCCTGGACTCCTGCATGCCCTCACCTGCTGTCCTGTCTAGATCAGTTTTCAGTAGCTCATTGCAAGGTGTTCTGAGCACCAGCTGGCTATTTATCGGGCTCCGCAAATATTCTAAGCTACAATATTGGCAGAGGTTTTTGCAGAACTCTTTCCCGAAAAGCTTTTTTTAGATGCAGGAAGCATTACCTTCACACATGTCAGTAACATTGAGAAAAGAACACTTCTCCTTGGCTGGTTCTCCCTTTCCCACACAGTGACCAGTACCTAAAAGTAGAGATGAGAATTAAAAAGTTTCGCATAACGATGTTTCGCATAACGGGTTTTTTTTGGAACCAATTAAAAACGTTATGCAAGGCACCACTGTATAATGAAGAGTCAAAGACTTCCAGTCTCCAAAATGGAGCTTAGAGAAGTTCCTTTTTTTTTAAAAAAAAAAACACATTTGCTGGTAACCCAGACAAGGAACACAGACCAGAGGGCAGATACCTGTCCTCTATTGTTTCAGAGGGCAATATGAGATCTAAGGAGCTTAAAGTATAGAAGTGAAGGCTTGGGGTCAATAGAAGGTGATGACACTTCCTTGATGGAGGTGAAGCTAAAGAAACATTCACTGGGGGTTCTTTAGCTCCCTGCACAAAGTAGGGTCTCAGATCAAACGGCCTATGATAAAGAGTCATGGACATCACACCCTTGTGCCCTCTGTATGAGAAATCTTGCTGAGATTCCAACTCTGACCTCTGACAGGGCAATAAATATTGGAGAGTGGAGCATCCTGGAACCCCCTTCCAGGATTGGTGGTTGGCGGCACCCCAAATAGCAACCTTCTACATGGCTACATGTCACCCTCGGGTTTACTCATCATCTGCAAGAACAGAAGTTCTTGGGATTCTAGTTCTGCACGAAAGACCAGACCATCTGGTGATTATTCACACAGGCTGCTGTGCTGTGCTCTGCAGTGACGGTTTTTTCCTCACCCATCAGTCTTTTGTCGAAGCGCCTCCTCCTCCTCCTGGACTCCTGCATGCCCTCACCTGCTGTCCTGTCTAGATCAGTTTTCAGTAGCTCATTGCAAGGTGTTCTGAGCACCAGCTGGCTATTTATCGGGCTCCGCAAATATTCTAAGCTACAATATTGGCAGAGGTTTTTGCAGAACTCTTTCCCGAAAAGCTTTTTTTAGATGCAGGAAGCATTACCTTCACACATGTCAGTAACATTGAGAAAAGAACACTTCTCCTTGGCTGGTTCTCCCTTTCCCACACAGTGACCAGTACCTAAAAGTAGAGATGAGAATTAAAAACACTAGCAGTCTAAATAATTGAAAGAGAACCACCCCCACCCCATATCAGTCTTCCCATGTACTACAATTATCAGAGGAGATCCGTCTACTGCTTTTCTTCTAGAAGAGAAGCATATGATGATTGATGATCCCTTTATTACAATCAACAGATCAGATAAGAAACATATTTATCATCTATGAGCAATTCATCTGCTCCATGGCAGCACCCAGTCTAGGAACATCATCCCACAGAATGTGCATCAATGCCACACTCTTTTCTTACACTTACAACCTTTTAACTTGCTTAATTTAATTTTAATTTAAAAAAAACATATTTGTATTCTAACAAGCCAAAATGGTATTTATGCCCCTTATTTCTGCTATACTACATATATTTCCCCCCCCCACTGTATTGAAGGCTATATTTTATTCAAAGAGCCCCAAATTTCTTTTTGAGATGAAAGTGCAAATGGGCTTGATTAAAATCAGCCAGCCATTTTCTTTCAGGTTTTGTCACCATAGCAAAAGAAAAACATCCAACTTCAATGTCCCATGAAATTTTTATTGCAAGAAGAAAGAGAGAGAGAGCTTGTATCTGCCTTTTCTAGCTAGCATGGTGAATGGTTTTAGGAAAGACTACCATTACTTCACATTTAACCCAAGAGTCGGTAGAGCGCAGCCTTTCAGATGTTGCTGGATTACAATTCCTACCAGCACAGCAAATGGTAGACAAGGGAAGATGTAGCCCAATGCCATTTGGCAGGTCAAGGGTTACTCATCTCTGCTCTGACTGAACAGGGGCATTGGAAGCCACTGTTCTTTCAGAGCAGAAAGAAACCGAATCTCTACCCTCAATAAGAATCCAGCTCTCCTCTAAGAGAAATCAGTTTTTTTCTAATAGGACACAAGATTCTGAAAGGCCACGTCTCAGTAAAATGGGCTGGCACGTGTCTCTTTTAAGTCCTGCCCACTGCGCCCCTAGGTTCAACTGTCTTCTACAGCTGTGTTTTTTGGATATAGGGATGCTTGTCCACTGTCAGCAAATGGCACCATCATCACAAAAATAAGATACTGAATCATCATCATTATCTGTAGACCTGTACAGAATAAAAATATGGTACCGACCTTTACACTGCCAGTTAATCAGTTTGTGAGGCAATTTTATAGCTATACCTTTTCCTTAGAAAGGCCCACACTGACATAGGAATGTGGCAATTCACTTATCTCTCACATGACACCCCCTTCTGTATTTCTACATCTTACAACCTAAGAGAGGGTACTGGAATGGTGATCCGCAGAGATGCTCATGTCAGACCTCTAGATAGGATGCTCGACTCTCCCAGGAGTCCTACAGACATTTACAGATGCCCTGAGCAAGTATCAGAAGCCTGCGGTTCATCATATCTGACATTGTCTCTGTAAAGGGTTAATCTCTGAATGAAACCAGACCATCATAGACAAGCATGTCAAAATTGATTTGGGTATTTAAGTACAATTCTTTTCTTTGTTCCAATAATTCCAAGCAATTCCAAAGCTTGACAAATCTCTACAAGCTTTTTGTTTCTACTTCTACATTCCATATTTCAAAATAGCAAGTTCAAATATATTGAAATATTGAACCTAGAATGAGAAATAAAAGACTTGGAGAAATTTGGAAGGGGTCTGACACTTGTCTTCCTGCCTCTGGACTCCAACACAATTGTGCTTTGCAGGCCTGGGTGCAATTCTCCAGAGATCAGCTCTTATTGCTGTTTATGCATTTCTCCAGAGCTCCATCTTGAAGGGTCAGGTGTTCAGCTAAAATAGAAACAATCCCTCACCTTCAGGGAATTACTCATCACCTGAAGGACATGAAAACAACACACCGTAGAACAAGCTAGTGATTAAAACCAAAGTTTGGGTTGCTGACTAGCTTAAACCAAGTTCAAATATATCCTGTGGTGTAGTGATAAAATGTGAACTAACTGCTCATCATAACACTCCCATAAAGCCAGGTCTAGCAGTATTCCTGTCCACCAGGACCAGATCTTCTGTAAAGCTGAAGAGTCTTCACTGGCCATCAAGACCAAATCACCCCCACGTACTTGGCCAGACTTGTGTCCATTATGTGTAGAGCATACTGGAATCTCCATGTCAAAAGCAAATCTGTACCACAACCTCCAACCGTCTCAATCAAATAATTCCATTTTCAGCTGTTAATTCAACATTATAAAAGATAAGAAACAGGCCTTTCTCTCCTCACTGATGAGAGGCTCTTCACTGCAAAAAAGGGACAATAATTCTGGGGTCTTGACATTATTAGGCAGAGCAATGTTGATGCCTCAGACAGCTGATTTTGAATGTATGAATGGGTAACGTCTCGTACTCCTTCAGTATTATGATGTCACTACTCCCAAGGAGAGGACGAAGCACGAGCAGGATTTTGTGCCCCACGCATCAAAATAACTTAGTTGGTCTGGATACAATGCACCTTGACTTATGACGGTATCTGCTGATTCCCCCCACCCCCGGTAAGGTAAAGGTAAAGTTTCCCCTTGACATTTAGTCCAGTCATGTCTGACTCTAGGGCACAGTGCTCATCCCCGTCACCAAGCCATAGAGCCAGCGTTTGTCCAAAGACATTTTCCGTGGTCACGTAGCCAGCGCAACTAGACACGGAACGCCCCGTAGGGTTTCCTAAATTTGGCATCCTGCCTGAGGCAGCAGAATACCTTAGGCCATGCCTAAGAAAACTGCTCTACCCTATAGAGTTGCTGGGTTACTGTGATGATGCATGCAAAGTAAGAACTTTAAAGTTTCAGGAACCAAGGTTCTCCATTTTTATTCTTGAAGAGTCTGTCCCATACTTTAACATTTCCAGCAACACAACAACAACTTTCTATCTACAGTAAAGTCATCTAACACGTCTAAAGGAAGAAAAGAGGTATCAACGGCACCTTCTAGCCATTCCTTTCTTCTCTCTAGCGGCTGCCAAGACAACATGCATTACGCAATAGGAGTTTGTCTCCAAACCAGCAGAGAGCAAAATATTGTTTCTCCCAACTACGCACTCCCCCACGGTCGCCATGGCAACGAACCAGGTACAAACTAACACCAAGGCAGCAGGAGAGGCTGCAAATTCCAGACAACGCACAGGGAGCGATTTCCCATTATTTGCCTGCATGCGGACTGATGACCAGCAATATGCAGAGAGTCAAAAGTTGCCCCCTTCTAGTTTTAAGCTAAATAGGAGTCGAGGCACAAAGGACACTTCTCAGCCAGACAAATGCTCAACTGCAGCCACAAAGATAAAGGTTTTGAGCAGAGCTGGCCCTACCGTTAGGCAGAAGGTAGCCACTGCCAGGCACCTCTGGAAGCCCATTGGGGTCATGAAGAGGCAACAAATTGCTAGATGTTTACTTGGGCTTTTTCTGTAGATTATGGCTTTAGTATATTTTCCACTACATATCCAGTGTGTAGCAGGCAAAGTGATGGACTAAAGTCCTGGATTTGAACCAGGGTCCGATTCCCCATTTGGCCATGAAAACTCTCTGGGGGGAGAAGAACTTAAAAACTGGTAAAAGCACTCCTTAACTATCTCACTTCCCTTAAAGCCCCATTAGTCAGTTCCAACCTGATGACACAGAACAAACTAACTATATTATCCACTCCAAGGACTTAAGGGTGTGTGTGGGGGGGGGATATTCAGCCTCCAGCAAGGCACTGTATGGGCATCATGTGCCTCAGCTTGGGGAGAGGGGTGCAATTTGCTGCAATGCAAAATGTCTTTGGCCAGCCTACCTCACGAGACTCCAAAAGCTTGTGTACACCTCATGCAAACGCATATTCCCGCCAAAATGGGGGCAGGGGAAACAGAATGTACAAGGAATGGTGGAAAACACATTGTGTTAATCAATGTGGTTGTCATGGTTTTCATGCAGCTCTTTGAGCCAGAAATCCCCCCACTTTCTCTCCTCCCCTCAACTGAACCAGAAACTTGTGTCAGTGTGAACAAGCTCACGTGGGACCCTGGACATGGTGGCAATTTAGGTATTCATGGAAGAAGACAGAGAACTAAGTTCATAGTCCTCGTGGCTGCAGATACATTTGAAGAAAGAGAAGCATTTTATGGTTGTCAACATCTGGAGATGTCGTGTATGGCACCACAACAGGAATGGGCAAAGTGTGGCCCTCCAGAAGTTGTTGGCCTACAACTCCCAGCATTCCTCACTCATGGCCAAGCCTGCTATGAACAGCATTCCAATATCATCTAGGACCATGCACACACCCACTTCAGAAGTACCAAAGAAACAGGGAAGAATCCAGCCTTGCTAAACTATACATCGTTGTTCTTCATCAGACCCTCTACCTTTTCCTCCACCAGAGCTGTGGCTTGCAGAAGGCTGGAAAGCTGAATGGCTGAAGGGATGATTGTGGAAAGTGGTTTGGAAAGTGCAAGGGGGCAGAAAATTGCTACCCAGTGATTCTCGGTGTTCAGTGGCTCCTTGCAACGCATCTCTTCCTTCCCCACAGCCCCCATGAGGCTCATTCACTGCTACGACTGTGCCATTTGGCTAACCCCTTTTTAAGCTTTTGCTGAAGTCTCTAAAACAGAGTTAGAGATGTGACTCATGGGCTAGAGGTAGCTCCTCCGAGAGGCTTTTGCAGCCTGGCCAAGGGTTACCTTGAGTTAATGAGTTTATGAATCAATTGAGTCTTTTCAGTTGCTTTGGCATTCTGCAGAAGCATCACCGGTTGCAGCCTGCAACGCCACACACAATTGAAAAGAAACTCAGATGCTGCATAGAAATAGGCTCTCTGCCTATTTATGATGGTCCCAGGGCCTTTTCCCATGTGCACCAACTGCCTGTGGCTCTTTTGCCTTGTCTCCTCCTTGCAGGAAGGTGCTGTGGCTTCAGGGTGGAGAGCTTGCTTTGCATGCACTGGGCTCCCCAAATAGTCTCTCTGCCTACTTCTGATGGTCCCAGGGCCTCTTCCCATGTGCACCAACTGCCTGTGGCTCTTTTGCCTTGTCTCCTCCTTGCAGGAAGGTGCTGTGGCTTCAGGGTGGAGAGCTTGCTTTGCATGCACTGGGCTCCCCATTCCATCTCAAGTTATTTCAAAGGTAAAGGTACCAGGTGAGTAGAAGAACTGCTTCCCAAGATACTGGAGACCTGCTGCCCCTGCCAGTCAGAGCAAATAAACAACAGTGGGCTAGATGGACAAGTTGGGTAAAGGCAGCTTTACATTGACAGGGCACAACCATAGAGAACCTCCAGAACACGGCCAAACAGCCTGAACTTCCCATTGACAGGGCACAACCATAGAGACTAAAAACTCAAGCAGTGTCATGAGAAGAACAGGTGAACAACAGCAACAGGGAACCAAACCATGTTCAATTTACACAGATGCTGAAGAGTTGGCCCATTGGTTGTTGTAGGTTTTTCGGGCTGTTTGGCCGTGTTCTTAAGGTTTTTCTTCCTGACGTTTCAGCAGTCTCTGTGGCCGGCATCTTCAGAGGACAGGAGTCAGAACTCTGTCTGTGCTCTTAAGAACCTCCAGAACACGGCTAAACAGCCTGAAAAACTTACAACAACCATCAGATCCCGGCCATGAAAGCCTTCGAGAATACAACTGGCCCATTATTTTACAAAGGTGTCCAATTTTAGTCAAGTGCCTCCTTCCCACTCACCTGGCTTCTTCTGAGACTCTTGGCAAAACATCCACACACAGTCCGTGATGTTCTGGGAAGCAACTCCTTCAATGCACTTGTCACATGACTCCAGTTCTTTGCATGCTCCTGGGATAAAAGAGGAAAGGCACAGAAAAAGAAAGGTTTCCAGGCTATGTGACCCTTAACATTGCTGCCTTATGCAAACGTATTACAAAGCTGCCTATTACAATTTATATGCTGCCATGTTAGAAGCAACTTATGGCGACCCTAATAGGGGTTCCAAGATAAGTGAGATTTTTAAAGAGTGATATTACCAATTCCACACCCACAAGGAGTTTCCAGGCTTAAGCGGGTTTTTGAACCCAGCTTCCTGAGCCCTAGTCTGCCACTCTATCCACTACACCAGACCTGGGCAAAGTGCAGCCCGAGGGCCACACATGGCCCGCAAGCTGCTCCTGTCCAGCCCGCGGACAGTTTTGAACATCAAAACCATTTATAGCTTTTTGTCTAAAGTTGATCAGTTGCTCATATTTAACATTCCACAAAAAACCTCTTTAGTATTTGTGAAGATTGGCAAGTTTAAAATAAAAGCAATCATAACGTCACTGTTTCATTTTATTTTTAAGTAAAGTTGGTTCGGCCCCTGAACACAGTTCAGATTTTTCATGTGCCCCCCCTATAGAAATTAATTGCCCATCCCTGCACTACACCATCCTGCCTATCGCCTATTAGAATGCTGGCAACATAATGGAATAGGATCACTCTGTCTGCAGGGTATTGTACCAAATAGGGAGAACTTACAAAAGGATCTAACACACACTGCAACACCTTATGTCAGACTAGCTTGTTTATATGTTACAGTGACCTCTCGAGGGTGCCACTGCCCAGCGAGCTTGCATGCCAGAACACAGATTATGCTGCAGACTTTGAAAGCTTATTCAACATTTATTAAACCTATAAATGTTGGATGACATTGGCCAGATACAATACTTCATGGTTGCTAAGACCATCAGCCTCTAGTTCAAGGCCTGCAGCTAAACACTAAGGATACAAAGCATCAGTGCCCTTGTTTCCCTTACACTAGCCTTCCCCAGAATGACATTCAGCAAACTCTGATCATCCTTAGCTGGGATGGCCAGTGACCAAGCCCTTTTCAATATATTAGGGTATTCACAAAAATGAGAAACGTTCTGGGAGTTGTAGCCAGAAAAACAACTTTTCCTATCTCTGGGTAGTTGTTCTTTCCTCCTTAAGAGCTTTACATTTGCAGTGCATAATTTTCAATCAATCAATCAATCAATCAATCAATCAATCAATCAATCAATCAATCAATCAATCAATCAATCAATCAATCTATCTATCTATCTATCTATCTATCTATCTATCTATCTATCTATCTATCTATCTATCTATCTATCTACAGTGGTGCCTCGCTTAACGAATGCCCCGTTTAATGAAAAAATCGCATAGCGATGGCTTTGTTGCCATCGCTTTTGCGATCGCACAACGATCTTGCCTATGGGGAAAAATCGCTTTGCGATTTTTCCCCATAGGCACCATTTTCCCCCAGCTGAGCGGCGGGAGCTTTGAAGCTCTGCTGCTCAGCTGGGGGAAAATGTCGGCAGTGGGCTGCGGCCTCGGAAGGACCCCGAAGCCACTGTCCCCTGCCGACAATTCCCTTCCGAGCTCCGGGGACAGGCTGGGGGGTGGATCGGGAAGCTTGAAGCCTCCCAGCGCTGCTTACCCAGGTCGTTCCCAGACTTCCAGTCTCCGCTGCTTAAAGGGTAACCGCAGCGGCTACCCCAGCCATGGCCAGACTCTAGGGAGTCCAGCCATGGCTGAGGTAGCCGCCATGGGTCAGATCCAAGCCGCGGGGGGGAGGGAAAAAACCGGATAATCC